TTTTTTTTTTTTTTTTTTTTATATCTTCAGCCTTTTTTTTTCTTTTCAACTTCTCCTTTCCCCCTTTCTCTTTCTCCTCTTTCTCTTGTTTGTTTTGGTTGGGCATATCTACTGGCGGATGTCACTCATAGATTGCGTTTTCTTGACGTTGGTTGACTTTGGACATTGGTTTCCCTTTTTACTTCTTCCATTTTCTACTCAACTTCTTGCCTTGAGTACCATGGCGTTAATACCTCGTTTCATTCGATTCCCTTGCCGGCTTGTTGCATTGCTTTGTTTCGGTTGGCAGATGCTGTCCCATTCTTCTCTTCACTTTAATCGGAGTCCTCCTCGATGCTATGACAAGCCCCGTGAACCCATTCGGCGTGCTCTGACGCCGGGATCGAGGATCATTTCTCTCGGTTGTAGTTTATCTTCATTTTTGAACACTCAACCTTTGTTATTTACCATTTGTTACGACTTGTCCATCGATCCGTGTTTGTCTTACAATTTTCTATATTTTATCCCGTCCGTCGTTGGTAAGACAATTCAAAAAAAGTGATACTCCCCCTTCTCACCATGTGCTTCTGTTACATCTTTTTTTTCTTTTCACGGTGCTGACCCACCTGTGCTATTGTCAAATTCAATCTTTGATTGTAAGTTAGATTTAACTTCTCTCAGACATACCATATGAAATAGTGGAAAATCGATGAAAATCCGAGTTTCCCTCAAAATAATAGGTCTCAGTTTTATTCCTGTAAATATGTAATCCTGAATTGCGAGGTAGACATGATATAATTATGATTCGTTAAGACTTTGCTGAACTCAACACGGCAGATAGATCAATTGGTGGAAATGTTTCAGTTTGAGTGCCATCAACCAGGATGAATTCTAGTATACTTTATCTCAAACTCAAACGTACTTATGCAATATTTCAATTAATGTACGAAGCAATTCAAACTATGTATGTAATGTAGTAGTATGTATGTATCATGAAGAGAGGCAAGAAGGTGTATGAGGGAAAAAACGTCGGGTATCGATGATCTTTTTGAAACGAACGGAAAAGAGGCGTACAGGTCGCTGCTCGTTACAATGAATTAGATAAGATAGGTTTCCATCGTCAGGGTTTAATTCGTGATGCATGAGAGGTAGGGTGGTAGGTTGTTGGTCTATGTTTGGTTCCAAGAAAAGCATTGCTTAGTAGACGCTTCCTCTGACACTTTGGTCTTCTCGTCTTGCGGCTTCGAGGTCGTCGTTGGGTTCGTGGTATTCTGGGTCTGGGTCTTCTTCGTGGTCGATTGAGGAGTCTGGGTGGTCGCTGTCTAGGTTTCGGTCTTTGTCTGGGTAGCCGTTGGGGGGTTTCTTAGATAGGTGTCGTCTGCCTGGGGTGGGGGGATGGTTGTGACGGTGGCTGGTGTGGTGAGAGCGTGAGCGCCGGAGACGTTGTGCCTGTGTACCGCTGCCCTCGTCATCGCCGTCGTTGCCTAGGTCGTGGGAGGGCTTTGGTTGGTGGGTGGTGGGTTTAGGGGGCTTGTCCTCGCGCTCGTCTTCCGATGGTGCGACACTGTTGGCTCCGCTTAATGTGCCGCCTCCGTCGCGGCCACTGAGGTGGAGGAGGGCATAGTTTGATCGCGGGGGGTGCAGGAGGTGGTCCTCGCTGTCGCGGTGAAGCCTGGATAGGTCTGGACGCTTGGGGATGGGGCTTGCCCTGGTGGTTGCGTTGTTGGAGTTGCTCTCTTGATCGTTGCTGTTGGGTTCGTTTGGCGGAAAGTCGGATCGAGTGGGCTGGGGATTAGGGAGATCTCCGTATTGTGGAGCAGGAGCAGGAATAATATTGGTGAAGAATCTTGCTTCTTTGGACCTGTCTCCAAGCGCTGGTTCAGGCGCTGTTATAAATTGCCCCTCAACCTGCGCTTTCACATCCTTTGAGGGCCCTTTACTTTTGTTGCTTTCTTGTGCTGGCTGGTTATGAGTATGAATGGAGTCGTGGGCCTTTCTGTGCTGTGCATCAAGGGTATTCCGGGCAAGGTCCATTCCAGTCGTTCGGTTGGACCGTGTCGAGCCCTTCTTGCGAATGCCATGGTTACACCCGTCCGGACAACCGCCCCATTTACGCCGGATGGGCACGAGTGATTCAGATGGTGGCACCGCTGGAGGGACTGCATTCACAACCCGATCTCGCTGTCTCTCCAGCTCCTTCTCCTTCCTCAACTCTGACCATGTGCGGAGCTGGTTCTGCAGCACATACTTCCCATTATCTTCATTGAGTTTCATGATTACGAATTCGCAGTGGTTGATGTTCCGTAGGTCTTCAAAGTACTCGACGCTCCAGTGGTACCATTTCATGAGAAAGACTCTGGTCATCAGACCATGGGTGACCAAAACACAGACACTGGCAAAATCGTTTTCTCCGAAAAGTCGCCACAGCGACTCGTTGAAACCGCTTATCCGGTCATAGGCATCAGCAGCCGACTCGCCGTTCGGGATCCGGTAGAAGAAGTGTCCATAATCCGCCCTCTCCAGCCACATGCGCTCCATTTCAGCAGAGCATGGCTGGAAGTTACCGAAATCCTGCTCGCGCAGACGAGGTTCTTCGTATACCTTGATGGTGTGTCTGGGGAAAGGCGACGGAGACGGAGAATCAGAGGTTAGCGACTGAAGGATTCCTTCCGTAGTTTCTCTGGTTCTGCGATATGGTGATGTGAAGAAATGGATCGTGTCATCGGGTCGCAAGAGGGCGCGCAGTGTGGAGCCGGCCTCATGGGCTTGTCGATGCCCTTCCGCAGTGAGTTTTACCCGATGATCGGGAATGGTCTGGTGGATTTCGCGATTCTTGTTGCCTTCTGACTGGGCATGGCGGATCAAAATGATCATCTAGTCCGTATGAGTAAACAGAACACATACATGATCGTTCTGGAGGACTCACCCGCGGTTTCCCCATGGTTAATGCCGCATTCGCAGGAGGGGCACAGGTGGGGTTGAAAAGATCAGTAAGACGACTGCTTCCCAGGAATTTTTTTGCAGATACTGCCTGCAACGTATCAAGTGGATATTCCAACCAGCCAGAGCTACAAAAACAAGCGGTGTACCCAAGAGAACAAGTGAACAAAGGAACAAAGCGTGGACGTCGTTGAGTTTGCAGGGCGGGAACCGCGCAAAGTACCTGATAGTTGTCCCTATCCGGTTAGTCTGTCCAGTGATGTAATCGTCCCCTATCGTCTGAAGTCTCGAATACTAATAGCCGCTTGCATATTGGCCCGCAACATAGTATGCGTTCCTCTATGATAGCTCAAGGTATAATATCGTTAAACTTGGACGCGCCGGGTAGCTCTTGAATAGTTTCCACGGGCTTTTCTTCGATGAGTATCTGAGGTGAGACAAGATCGAGCTTAGACATGGGGCTTAGGAATCCCGATAAGATGTGATCCTGGTACAGTGGGGGTCACGTACTTTTGGACCCTGACCTGGAATGCACTACCCAAAACACAGCCTATTTCTTCAGAGTTCTCTAGTATACATTGCAATTCTTATTTTCTTATTTAATTACTCCCAGTGATGGATTCCGGTTCGCAGCAGTAGTGATCTTCTGCAGATAAACAGAATCCCTTAATTTGACCGACATACCTTTCAATGGATAAAGGTGGTAGAGCGTCAAAAATCGGAATCAAAACTAAAACCCAATAAAGAGGGGGGAAGACAAGGAAATGTAAAATGAAAATGCAACGTCCGGACCTTGGTTAGGCCACAAGACAATGCTAGAAGTATAGGACGGGGAAGGTGAATGTGGAGAGACATTCGGAGATGCTGCGCTAGTTGCCGCTGCGGCTTCCGTACAGTATCGCGTCTCACGACCAAAGTTGTCCAGTTCCTCTCTCCAACAACCTGCCGGCCATATATGCCCCACATTTGATCGTTCTAGATTGAGAAACCTGTAAAGGAGTTGCATCATGGCGGACTATCTTTATGAGCTTTTGGCGCCGCATTTGGCTTCCACAAATGCCTCCCCCAACCCATTGAGCCCTGAAAATGATACAACCACTGCCCAGTACCTCAACAGGTTGCCCACCCTCTCACTCCAGGCATTGCAAGAAACCGAACCACAGTCACTCGCGCAGTCATCCCATTCAAATATCCTATCGCTTCAAGCTTTATCAAACCGTTCCCATAAAACCTTCATCTCTTCCGCCGACAGCCTCTCAGCTCTACGAAACTCTATCCCCCAGTTGTCTCGAGATGCACAGCAATTACGGGATGCGATTCCAAAGCTAGACGAAGAAGCCGTCCTGTTCTCGTCGAAATACAGTCGAGCCGCTGAGAATGCATCTCTGGAGAAGCGGAAGAAAGTAATGCAACTGGCAAGGAATGTTGACCGATTGTCGGACATTCTGGAATTGCCAACTTTGCTCTCAACTGCCGTGTCTTCAGCGGCCGCAAGTTCTGGGGCTGTGGGTGGTTCATCCTCCACGACATATTCAGCAGCATTAGACGTGTATGCGCATATCAAGAGATTACAAACTCTGTATCCGGACTCTCCCCTCGTTAGAGATGTCTCCGCTCAAGCCGAGGACGCCATGAAGGACATGACTACACATCTGATAACTGGTCTTCGGGCTCAGAATCTCCGATTAGCCGCTGCTATGAGAACTGTTGGCTGGCTGCGGCGAGTTGCCCCCGAACTGGAGAATCTCCGTAGCGACGGAGGAACTGGAACGGGAGAAGGCGCCCTTGGTGCTTTGTTCTTGATTTGTAGATTGGCGAATCTGGTGGCGACGCTCGAAGCGCTAGACCCCTTACGAGAGCTCGCAGACCAGGAATCGCACCGCAGAACCCAGAGTACGGAAAAGAAGCCCGGATCCTGGTCTGATGGGCACCAGACAGAGAAGTTTTTAAAGCGTTATATTGAAATCTTCCGCGAGCAGAGTTTTGCTATTGTTTCCTTGTACAAGAACATCTTCACCCCTAACCAGGCCGAGTCGGAAATAGCAGCGACAGGATTGCGAGGGGTTGACGCGCGAATTAGATCTACAGCGCCGCGATCTGCTCAGCAAGAAGATCCACTACAGCACCTCCCACCAGCACTTGCAACGTTTCCCATGCATCTGGTTCAATTACTGACCGACACCTTGCGGGCATATCTTCCGAATGTTCGGGATAAGAGCTCGCGTGAAAGTCTTCTCACCCAAGTTCTATACTGCGCTGCCAGTCTAGGACGATTGGGTGGAGATTTTGGAATGATTCTTACAGAGATGAACGATATGGGAGACGAAGACGGCGAAGAGATGGCCTATGAGTGGGAGGAGGTGACGAGGAAGCACCGAGCCCTGGCTGGGCGCCTGGAGCAACTTACCGGAGGAAATGCAGCATCCGGATCTTCCAAGGGGACCTTACGGGCGGCCTCACCCGTAAGAGGGCTTGGAGTTGCATGAGAGGAAGTTTGTCCCTGTTCATCTGACCGGAGGCTGATAAGCCTTCTTACTGGCCTAAAAGGAGTAAACCAGGACTCTGGTTGGAGCGCTAGCCGTATGGGGCACTAGCGGCGGGTGCCGTTTGACCTCCGCCGGTCGTTGTCTGGACCGCCGGCTTCTCCGTCCGTCATCTTCCCTCCTCTCTTTCTCTCACTCTCTCTCCCTCCCTCTCCTTGTTTCTTTCATCTTCCCTTTTTCTTTTCTTTTCTTTTCTTTTTATTCCCTCCCAGTCTAGGGGCATTTGAAATATATATTATGTTCATCTTTGTTTCTATATATGTTGAATGTCTGTCCTATAACCCTCTGATCGGTGCTGGTCTGCCGGCTGCCCTCGTTCCGTCGTCGTCTTCACTGCCGTCTCTTGTGTGACGTCCTTCTCCCTTGCGTACACACGACCTGTCTATACTTACACCGAGGAATGCAACCCTCCCTATAGTTGGTGTTGCCAAAGACAACAAGACATTGAACAGCAACTTGGGGATATAACTTCACCCACCGTGGTCAAACCTTCTACCGATGGCCGCCCCCGCTCTCTCAACCGGATTAATCGATCCCACCAAACAAGCCGAGTACCCCATTATTTTGGGTGACAGGCTTTCAGGAAAAAATGGCACTTCACTGTCGAAGCTGGTCAATATCCAATATAATTACAAGACAAAGTCCGCGACCGCGCAACAAACCATTACCAGATCATCGCAATCGAGGGATCACTACAACCTTACCATTACGGACAAAGCGCCGAATGCTGAACAGAATACTTTAACATATTCTTACCAAGGTAGCATTGACCCAGGGCAAGCTGTTTCAGAATCCGAAGAGCGAAATCTGGTCTTGGTGTTCGACTCCCATCGAAAGGCCTTTGTCCTGGAACCGGTTACAACACAGCTCAATTTCAACCTCCGCTCCGCTCCGGCGAAGACAGAGAAGCAAGTGCTAGAAAAGTATGACCAGCTTCGGACTTTGCAAGAGGACGATCAAGGCTCAGGAGACGATCGGGGTTCAGACCATGCCAGTGGGAACGACGATGGTCCAGCAGATGACACTAATCCATACGACTTCCGGCATTTCCTTCCTAAGGAGAATACCGATGACGATAAGTCGGTCTCAGACAACGCTACGCCAGAACCTCATTATAACACAAGCAAAGCCAATACCCCATTAATGCCTGCGACTATCAAACCCACACCGAGTCCGAAGCCTAGCCCGAAGCCCCGTCCCAAAACCCAATCCAATCCTCTTCGTCTCCCAAAGCCGGCCAAGCCGGCCAAACATGACAGCGCAGGGACCCCCAAGACAAGCTCTAGGCCTATACCTCGCGAGGAGGGCATGAAAGAGAAGGCGCCTGCTCAAGATGTCGCAGTCGAGGCAGCCAAATCCCCATCTTTCGAAAATGGAAGCAGCGCTTTGTTATCCCAACAGCCAGCTCCTTCACCCGGGTCGAATATCATCATTGACGGGGACCTCATCATTGATCTGGGCTCACCGCCACCTTCTCGACCTGCGTTCCGAATTGACCCTGCTCACTTCTCTTCCAATAATACACCAGCAAATAATGATGATGATGAAGATGAGGATATCGAGGATCTCCGGTTGCCCTCCCCTGCTGGACACGGAGGGATACCTACTCGTTCCGGAAGGGTAGAGCCTAGTTACAACGCGCAAGCTGATGAAGATGAGGTGGAGGACGATGACGCTTTGGCGGCAGAAATGGAGGCTGCATTCGAAGAAAGTGCTCGGGAAGAGGAGGCTAGAAGTCATCAGTCATTACACCATTATAATGCTCCTAGCGATGACGAGAGTGAGGTCAGCGAGGAGGAGTAATTCTCCCTTTATCTTTGCATAGTTGGAATAGTTGTGTGTTTCTTGTTTTCGTGTTTCAAAACCATATATAAGCATGGCGTTCATTTGGAGTTTGGAGCGGAATAATGAACTCAATGGAGTTTTACAATTATCGATAGCAGTGATACCACCTATTGCATCCCAACCTGTATAGAGGATTAGGATAGTTCCAATATCATGACGTGTATTTCGAGTTGCTTGATGCATGTAAATGAGTTGTTCTGGGAGTCCAGGCCGGAACAACTCGATGATCCGATCTCAGATCACGCATTTGTCCGGCTGCGGATTATTCGAACTCCAACAAAAACCACCACCAGATCTGCAGGGGAGAGAGTCCTCTACCGAACAATTTCCACCGCTTTGCCTCCATTCTTTGAGCCATTTTGATTTTTTCACCACTTTCTCTCTTGTCTTTCTCCGGTCTCTGAGCAGAGCCCCCACACCAGTAACAACACAACAGTGCGATTGGCCTTGAATCCGGGCTCGGCCCACGATGCGATGAAAGGTCTCTCGCGCCATGGTTGATCTGATCTGTTAATAACTTGCTTTTAGCTTCTGGTAGTCAGCAGAGGACGGAGCCTTTCATTCTGGTCTCACTGGACGACTAAATGGTTGATACTGCCTACTTGTAGTCATTTGAACTTGGGTTCTTTCTCTTGTCCATATCATCGACCTTAACCGCCTCCACAGATATCCTGTTCCTGCAAGGGTAACAACACAATCCTTCATGGCATCCACAACATCACAACCGTCGGAGAAGCGACCTGTGCCCGCGCCCTCGAACCCCGTCCTTCTTGCGACACAAGCCCAATGGCTTTTCACAGATGAGGAGCTCACGCGTGCGCCGTCGCAACTCGACGGTATGGCACTGGAGGCAGAACATACAAGTCGCAGTAAAGGGGTCAATTTCATCACTCAAGTGGGCATTATGTTAAAATTGCCCCAGCTCACAATCGCAACTGCGGCCGTATACCTTCACCGGTTTTTCATGCGGTACAGCATGGTCGACCTGCCGCAACGACCGGGAATGCACCCTTATCCGATTGCTGCCACCGCATTATTCCTATCGACCAAAGTGGAGGAGAATGTGCGAAGGATGAGAGAACTGGTAGTCGCATGTTGTCGGGTAGCGCAGAAACAACCCAACCTGGTCGTGGACGAGCAATCTAAGGAGTTCTGGAAATGGCGAGATACGATTCTGCACCATGAGGACCTCCTTCTGGAAGCCCTTTGTTTCGATCTCCAACTTGAACAGCCCTACCGTATCCTCTACGACTTCATCTGCTACTTCGGCGTCAACGAGAACAAACCCCTCCGCAACGCTGCCTGGGCCTTCGTCAACGACTCTATGTTCACCGTTCTTTGCCTGCAATTCTCGGCTCGGAACATAGCTGCCGCCGCCCTTTACGCTGCCGCCCGACATTGCGATGTAGGATTTGAGGACGATGTCTCGGGCCGGCCGTGGTGGGAGCAGGTCGACGTGGATCTGGCACAGGTGCGTCGCGCGTGCACAAGAATGGCGCAATTGTACGAGAACAATGCCATGCAGAAACATAGCCAGTACTACCCGACCACCCCCATCTTCGCAGACGAGGGTACTGAGAAGACCAGGATCCCGCGTGCTGGCAGCCCGGCTGGTACCCTGCGTGAAACAGACAACGCGAATGGACGGAAGCGGTCGAGAGAGCCCGAAGACGAAGCCCAGGGCCGCTCAGAAGAACCACCCGTTCCGCACGACCAAGAACCGACGAACGGCGAACGATCTCCGAAACGACCACGCATGGGCTCAGACGCCGCCGCACAAGAGGCTTCAGCCGACAAGAACCCATCCAACTCGACGTCGTTTAATTCCTCCCAGGGAGCAACAGCACCCCAGTCAACAGGGACACGCCCACTCCCCCACGACCGCCACCACACAAACGGTCATCTCCCTCCCCCTCCTCACCGCTACCAACATCCCCTGCCTCCCGCCCCGCGAACATTCCCCCGCCGAGACAGCGACCCCCGTCCAAGCGGCAGCGGCGGACGCCCAAACGCTCCAGTCGACGACCCAATCCAACAACGGATCGACGAAATCGTATCCCAAAACATGACCAATCCCCAAGGCGGACCCCCGCCGCGAGACCGACGCAACTCAGACCGATACCGCGAACACGAAGACTCCAGCCGAAGACGTCGCTCAGACCTCTCCTCCACCAGCAGAAAATCCACCGACGAGCAACACCCTCCACCCCCACCACCTCCTCCTCCCTCCGATAAGCTCCAGAACCAGCAACCACCACCGCCTCCGCCACCAGACCAGGACGAAGAAGGCGGAGGAAGCGAAGAGGGCGAGCTATAGTCATTATAAGTTCTTTACGGTCTCCTCTGCATCCTTACCCACCCCTTAAAAAACAACTATATCGCTGCTATAACCTGGCTTATATCACTGGACATCCTATTCCATTGTCTATTCTTAGTCCGGCGGGTTCGTTGGCTACACTGTACAGTACATATTTCTACGTAGTGTGGACGGGGGCAAAACGAAGTGATACAGAATCATCGGTTTGAATATCTCGATGATATAATGCTATTACAGGAAGACGAAAAGAAACAGAAAAGAAAAATTTAGGAAATTCTGTTTGTAATTTATTGCTACCTAGGTCAATATTACTGACTACTTCTGTTGGCACTGCTTTGGTTGGCTGGTGTTAGTAAAATACATCGTTGTAGCTCTGGGTGGTTGTTGATCTGTAGCAAAATTTGGCGCAATTCTATCCGACACGCATACGTTATAGATGGAAAAACTACGCAGGGGACGTAAGGATATGTGTACGGAAGCCAACATGGATGCCATTGAAGCTAGATTTACCTGTGCTGTCACGTGGAAATAGGCAGCCAAACGAAAGATACCCGTTGCCATAGTCTGTGTTTTCGTCCCGCAGGCCAGGGACGCGCAGTGCGAGTCAAAACCCTTTAGTCGCGATGCCCAGTCCGTGATCAAGCAAGCTGCTGGAAGCGACGAAACTGAATCCTCCGAAGGGGTTGCTCTCTTCTCCCATGACGTCGTAGCCAGATGACATAGGACGCTGGCTGCCGCGCTGATGGGCGGCATAGTGATCATCGAAGCCGGCAGAAGCAACGAGCGGGCTCAGCGGCAGATGAGTAAAATCGTCGGAGAAGTTCTCAGCGAGTGCAGGGTCCGTGACAACAGGGACAATCGGAGGAGTAACTGCACGGCGCCCAAGAGCTTTCCAGTCGATCTTGCGGAAGAACCGGTGGTTCTTGATCGTCTGGAGGTCTTTGGGCATATGGTATCCAAGACGCTTGGATGGCTCCTTGCGAAGGAGACGGGTCAACAGGTCTTTGGCGTCCGGGCCAAGGAAGTAGGGCAGGGTTAGCTTCTGCTTCAGGATTTTCTCCTGCAGCTTGGCGTTGTTATTGGCTTTGAACGGGGGTGATCCTGTAAGAAGATCGTACGCCAATGCCCCAAGGGACCACCAGTCACAAGCTTTGCCGTATGGTTTGCCCTGAATGACCTCTGGGGCCATATATTCAATGGTGCCCAGCGAAGAGTTGCAGCGGTCATCATCATGGGCAGATATCTTGCTGAGACCGAAATCTGTCAGCAAAAGGTGGCCTTCGTGGTCCAAAAGGCAATTTTCAGGTTTCAAGTCACGGTAAATCACACCGACGTTCTGATGCAGATGCTCGAGCGCGAGGACCATTTCCGCCATGTAAAAGGCCGCCACATCTTCATCGAACATACGCTCCATGGCTAAATGCGTGAATAGCTCGCCACCTTGGGCGTATTCCAGGATGAGGTAAAGCTTCTCATGGTCCTGAAAAGCGTAGAAAAGCTTGACAACAAACGGATGGCGGTTGACGCTCTCCAAGATCATACGTTCTGTCTTGGTCTGCTCCACTAGCTTTTTATGAACGGTGATTGAGGCCTTCTGGAACTGTTTCTGAGCATAAAGCTTGCCTGTGAGAGCATGACGCACCAACAGGACGGTCCCAAAAGAGCCTTTGCCCAGACAGAGGAGGGGCTCAAAGTCATCTGTGGTCATCTTCCGGCAAAGCTGGGTGCGCATATCCTTAACACTTGACGTATTGTAAGACTTTTCCTCTGCTACTGCATCAGCGCTGACATAGTCGTGTTCCAGAGGCACCTCATAGCTGGTCAGAACCTCCGTTTGGTCACTGTCCGAGCAAACACTAGCGTTGCTTTGTGCCTCGGAGCCAATATCACTTGGCACGCCTTGGAGAGAGCGGTCTCCCGACAAGTTCAGCGAATCGAGCTGAAGTTTTAGAGCGCTAACACCATGGCCTGAAGCTGGCTGGGACATTGGGCTATTACCCGGTCGCGCTGAAGAGCGCAGTGCGCGAGAACCAGAGGCCGAAAAGTCCGAATCCTCATCGCCAGAACCCAAGGGGGTAAAACCACGAACGGTGGAGATTGCTGGGGCGGCTTGTTGCCTTTTTTTCTTTCGTCGGTCTACCTTTCCGGGGAGCGGATTTGCATTCAGTTTCGGCGCTGGGAAAGGATTGCCTCCACGGGCACCCTTCTCGGAAAGCCCTTGTTTGCGGTCAGGGCTAGCATCACTCATTCGGAAGCTGACGGTTTGGTTGCTGTTCAAGCTGACCTCATCGCGGGGTTGCGACATGTCAGCTTGAGGGCTGAAGACGTCACCGACCGAGAGATCATCCTGCAATGTGCTCGACATCTCTATTTGCTTTTCTTCACTAAAGCTTGATATATCTCCCTTTTCCTTGCGTTATCCAAAGATTGTCCGAAAAGGGAACGTCACACTCAAAAATGACGACAGATCCAAAAGCGTAGAGGCACCGATAAGCACAATGCGTAAAAGAAGAGATATCACATCCACTCAGTCATGGATCAGTCGGTATGTACTTGTGAGACCTATCAAGTAGTATCTGGTTTTGGAACAGACAGGTTAGACCTGGTTTTTTCCTCAGATGCACGAAAGTGGGGTATTCAGGGCAGGAGTTGCGAAACACCAACGCAAGGAGAGAAAACAATTATGGAACCACGCGTACTTTTTTGGCGATAGATCCTACTTTTGCTCAGCCGGTGGGCTTGACTGATTGCACTGGATGCTCAAAAGCAGCAAATTACCGTCCGCCCTTGTTCAGGACGGACCAAGGACCCCTAGCCAATTCACCTTGTCGACAGAGGGTTCGGGAAGCCGGGTAGACGATACGACCCGAGATCCAGCCAGCGCGGTAGTCCCTAGGGAGTATACACCAGTCGAGTCCTCGTTGGTGATCAGGGAAACAAAGCGAGCGTTGGCAGCGCGGCCAGCGAAGCGAACGATATCGGAGTGTGAAAGCGTGGGCGCAGACAAGCACATAGAGAAGTGGCAGTACGAATGTTTGTGATTGTTAAATGGATTAATATCCGGGGACACCGAAGAAAGGAAGTATGGGATTGTCTTCCGGGATCAACTCCTGGATTAAAAAGAGGAAGCGAGAGAGAGAGAGAGAGAGAGCGAGAAAGTGTGACCGCTTGGGGCTTCCAGTCGGAGATGTTAATTATTATTACTTGATTAAAAAAAAAGTCCGCTTGGCCATTGATCCGGGGACCAATCAGCGTGCTCCGGTGCTAAGCAGCACTAGCCCGATCAGGGACCGCGGGTCTTCACGTGCGGCAGTCATTGGGTCCTACTTTTACCTCATTCAACAGACAGAAACATCAACCGTTACAATTATGCTGGTAGTAGCTTGGTAGATCTGACTACGAATTGACTGCGGAGTCCATCGCAAGTCTCAAATGACGTCATGGGCGGTGTTCGGGCGGACCACGGAGAGGATGTTGAGTATAGCAAGCTGCAAGACTAGGCTCTATACCCGCCCTCCATCCATCTCGGATCTCTCAAAGAATGACAGTGACCGGGTGATCTCTATTCCTGATCTTCCCACAAAGGCCAACGCGCTAGGCTTCTCTACTCGAACTGTCACGCGCTCATTGGCGAACTCAACTGTCACTATGCGCGCGACAAAAGTCGCTAGTGCCTCCACGGTTTGGAAGGAGGTTTCCTCAACGCGCTACCAGACGTGGACATCCCAGATTAGTCACGGCTCGGCATAGACAACTGCAGCTTCATGGTACGGGCAAAAAAGAAGTACTAACCTCTGCGACAGTTCTAGTCATTTCCTGGTAAGTGTCTACCACAGTTGATCCCCATGCCAACTGGCCCGGGCCCTTAAACTCCAGCGAAACGATCACAGCCTGCTTCTCAACTCTCTCATGGGAATTGACACCAAGGATACAATGGCATCTTATGCCCTCAATACGGAATTCCTCTTCCAGAACCACAGGGCACCGTTCAGAATCCTGAAGATTGCCCACAACTTCGTTGTCTTGCTTGTAACCCCAAACCGTGACGCTGCGGTATTTCAGGCCTTCTTCCGCACGCAGCAGGGCCTTGGGGAGATGTAGCCAAACCTCACATCGACCAAAGACACCGTCAATAGGGGATGCCAAGGGTGGTGCTTGATTGGCGGCATTGTGCAAGTGTGACATTCTCCTAACCCCGGCCGTAGTCTCATCGAGTAACCCTAAGCTGCAGTTCGCAACAATGGCCGCCGTCAGTCGTACATCCTGACCAACATCATTCTTCATCATCGAATTTCGTCGGTTGCCTTCCAGGCTAATCATCCGTTTCCCTGGATGTTCTTCATGCTGCCCCATATTGCGAATGTCTTCTTCTAACCGGCGATAAAGCTTCCCATAGTCGATAGAAAGAGAGACATCATCCGCATTGGCAGCTGCAACGGCCGACGAGTAAGATAATTTCAGAGACGCGGTGCACGGCTGCGGCTTCCCAAGCCGATGCCATGCCTCTGGTGCAGCAGGGAGAGGGAGCTCAATATCGCGGAGTCGCACGCTATCTAGGACGGCAGGGTAAGACGGTATATGAACATTTACTCGCTGTTCGGCCATTGTAATTGCAATAAAGGCTCACAGCTTGTAACCTTTTTTTTATAAAAAAAGAAAGAAACAAAGAAACAAAGAGAAAAGATGGGTGGGTTGTTCTCTGCTTGCAGCTGGCGTCCTTGGAAGCGAAAGCTAAGATAGCTCTGACGTCAGTACACCAGAATGTCACTGACAACAATTGGTAGAAAAGTTGTACGGAAGAATTAGCAAATGCTCATCGCAGGAACTGATGATTCGCCTAGGCTACTTTCCAACGCAAGCAGCTCTGATCAATGGCGGTTGCTTCTCGTGGTTCTGTGTCCGGAGAATTGAGAAAGAATGATGGTGGGGTTCTTTAGCGCGGGGAGCTTCGACAAATATTACGCCGGTATGAACTGAACACCACAAACTTAAAGCTATCTCCACCCGGATTTCTCGCCTCAGCTAAGTGAACCCCGGCTGGAGTTGGTCATCCGCCACTGTTTCATCGGCCAACAAAGTTAGATACATACTACTTCAGCACTCCGGGCACTCGGGGTGAAATTGATACGGTACTCACCACCCGTCTGTGCCCCGCGCAGGTGTTTACGTATTTCATCGGTCAGTGACTCCATAACGGTAGCTCCGGTAATCCTATTAATACATATCCAGACCTCCCGTAGAGTAAACAAGCGATAGACTTGGTTGGTCAATGTACAATATCCTCGTAAACTGGTCCTTATCATATCATATCAGGGAATCATGTATGCCGCAGGAACAAAAGATGGCCCTATCCACAACACCCGGTGCAACGCTGGCCAACCACCAGGAAAATGTACCACATCTCGAGGGAAGCGTGCGGCGCGCTAAGAGATAGACAGCAAGTAGACTGTCGTCGCATACCTTTTCCTTTGAATTTCGGGGGGTTTCTAGTAAGTGCTCAAGGGCCTCAGAAATTGTCCTCACGTCAAGCAATAAACAGAAATTTTTCGACAACAGGCACGTCGCATCTTCGGTGCGTCCATTCCAGGAAATGAGGGTGGGTTGGGATCGCAACCGATTCCTTTTGAAAAGCAGGGCAAAGTAGAATCAAGCAAGCACAAAGGAATATAAGAGAGAAAAAAAAAGGGGGGGATGAACACAAAGCACATGGGTATCCGCCATGCATTCAAGACAGCCAAATCACGAGAGACAGGTATTTACCAGTAACCACGGCGGTCATAGGGCACATATTCACCCCGTGGGGGACTTCGAGGGCGTCCGTAGGGCCTTTGTGGCATATAGGGATCCTCATACCGAGGAGGCGGCGGCGGCGGGCGGACATCATAGGGGTCTTCATAGGGTCGACGTGGAGGTGGATAATCATCAATACGGGGACGGGGAGGCGTCCGGCGTCCATAGCCATCACGGTCATAATAATCCCGGCGCATTGGAATTGGTGACCGCTCCCGGTAATGAGCACGGGGACTGTAGCCCCGAGGTGGAGGGAATCTCCGGTCGTACTCATCTACGGGTGGATAGCTCCGGCGAGGGGACCGAGACCGGTAAGGATCACGGAAGGGGCGCTCGTCAACAGGCTGGATCTAAAGGATTTCAAAATGAGGACCTCATCCCAGCTCCTTAGGCGCAATTTGGTTCTTACATCTGCCACGCAGCTCACTCGGGAGCCTTTGAAATCACGCCCATCGAGCTTCTCAATGGCAGTCTTCAGGTCGTTCGCAGTCTCAAATTCAACGAACCTTGGAGGATTAGTGTTAACAGGGTCCGAGAGCCGTCCTGGTTTTTGTGAAGTCACCCACCCTCTGCCAAGTTCGCGGCCAGTTTCCGAGTAAACGACATCAAGACCCGCTCCACGTGCAAAGTCTTTAAGGTCCTAGAGAATTCCGCGGTGTGAGTTGATTTCCTGGTGCAATAGTGGAGTCCGGGACTATCCAACGGGGACGCATGAAACAGAATACAAAAGGAAACAGATTCAAGCCACGGTTTCACCAAACTAAATGGGTCCAGAAACGGCCTGAGTCCATGCTGCTAGTGGGTATTCCGTCCAGATGGGATCCTCCAACGCCTAGCCTACCACAGCTCCCAAGGCAGCTGAGGTCCATGGAGCGTGCCTTGGAAGTACTATGGGTGCTAGGGTTGGGATCGTTCCTCCACCGGGGAGGATATCCAAATGCCAGGGAGGTTGTACCATGGCCGAGTCGAATCCTTGGGGAGTGCTATCCATGCGAACAGGGCAAGAGACAAAGGAAAATCGGGGGGAAAGCGGGGCAGCTTGTCATGCACTTATTGGCCAAAGTGCACGGCGTTCCGGGAATCCTGAGAAAAATAGACATGGGCTGCTAACCTGCCAACTTGTTTCCGGGAGTCCAGAAACCATCATACGGTAAGCCGTGCGACGGGGACGAGGCATATTAGGACGGTCCATTGGGCCAGGGAAGTTCTCCTTGCGACGTGGCCCCCGCGCGAATTGTACAGTGAGTCGCTCGCCTTTGAAATCACTGCCATCTGTATAGAGGATTTGGTCAGAAGCGCAATTACCCCAGGAACCGGCGCGAAACCGAATACATACGGAACGCTGAAGAAGAAGAATATTAGCCATATATACGTGCGGTGGGGGACCAGCCTCCTACCTGGTACAACATCTCTAGCATCCATCGCATCTTCGTATTCAATGAATCCGAAGCCATTCATAAGCTTAATCTCAGTAATCTTTCCGGAGCCATGAGTGCTAAAGTGTTCCTCGATATCCTGCTTGGTGACTGAAGACCTCCCATGGCGCCCACGCAGGGCGCCGCGAGAAAATGTTAGCTCATTGCAATCAAATAGAACAAAGTTATCTAGAGAGTGTTATGGGTTGCCAATCCGGAGTTGGAAGTGCTTTAACAAATGAAAGAAGGACAAAGAATAAGTGCCAGTTCCCTCTATCAGCCAGGCACCTGGCTAGCGTTGAGAGAAAACAGCAAGTGCAGCGCATGTCCCTTTGTTGCGCATCAGGGCCAAACGAGAGGAGAGCCTTGGCGATCCATCGGAGCATCCTGGTACTTGGGGCGCAGCAGACTAAATGGGCAACATTCCGATCGGGTTGGAGAATCGAGGGGAACCTTTCAGAGAGGGGATTGATAAACGGCTGCATACCATTGCGGGGAAGATTCCCGAGATAAAGTCGTGTGGACGACACTTCGGTCATGACGGGCAAAGAAGAATGGCGTCTAGTACTGATCAAGTAATGAGAAACCCCAGTAAGATGGTTCTGGCCTCAGGACCCGCAACGGCCAAAAGAAAACGACGAGGAGATGCACTTCCAGACAAAGCGGCGATATTCGACGTAAACCCAGGGGTAAGACGAGACCTTGGGATCAAGAGGGCTGCGGTCCTAACGGAAGAATGGCTATTGTTCCTGAATCCCCAAGTGGGACGTTGGCCTAGAAGGTTGCTGGTGGCGCCTAATTAGAGGGCAATGGGGATCTCGGTGGCTTAACTTAAATCGCTGAAGGATGACCCTTCCAATGTTAGATTATCGGCCAGCAAAATACTAGAGCTAGATAGCAGAAGCAGAGAACGAAGAGAGTGCGCGAGAGGAGGATAAGGAGAGGGGAAAGAGTTGAGGGTGGCAGAGTAAAAAGAAAGACAGAGAGAGATGGTCTGTGTTGACCGCCAGGCGAAACGGCAAGAACCAAAAGTTTAAAAATAAACTGAGAAAAGAGACGTCAAGTACCCCGTACCAACAGTGACCAAGGCAAAGTGACTTGTCTCTTGGAGCTTTCCAGCTGGAGGGAAACAATGCAAAATCAGTTGAGCCAAACAGCGTGACGAGAGCCTCCGCCTCACTTTTTGCTGGCGGGTCCACGTGGCCCCGCCGACAACCAAAGGCAATCAATGAAATTCCAGCCTTGTGTTGACCTCCAATCAGACTGCATGCATCAATGGAAAATAGAAAAGTAGGAAACAATATTGTGTATGCATTCAATCTAGACAGACACTAGTCAAGGGGTTCATGGCGGTCAACTGTAACTTCTGACTCGGAGAATAAAGAATACTACTCTCTCTTATTTTCCGAGAAGAGATTGAATCGCACACACTTAAGTCATCGATTACATGCACATTACCGATGAGATGTCAGAACATGGTACTGTATCCTCACTGGCACTGGTACGGAGTACATGTTTGTATGTTTGGACATACATCCAAATGGATCCTATATACTCGGAGTACACCGTACCTTTCGAGGTATTTCCACGGTTCCGTCCCATCAAATCCCCACGGGGTTGAGCCGCAAGACCGATTTGAGGTACGTTGCTGTAAAGTCGCAGTACCAACTCTTCCACTTCATCTATAAGGGATCATACTATGAAATATTGTTTTTATTTGGTTTTCTGTGGTTCCCATTCTCTACCCCACCAGAACATATTGTGGAGCAAGTCACTACCACCATAAAAAAAGAAACAGAGATATTTGAACAAAATCTATATACAGGAACCCGGCCCAATCCAATCAGCTGCTTTTATTTATACAAGGCGAAATACGACAGTGGAAATTACCTAGTGATGACCATAGGTACCTAGTTCCAATACCGGAGTCGATCAGGTCATGAAATATTTAGGACCCTCACCACCTTGAGGGGTTTGCCAATTGATGTCTTGTGTCGGCACCTTAATGTCACAGGTCTTGCAGTGAATGCAGCTAAGGCAAGATTAGTACCAGAAAAAAAAAAAAAGAAAAAAGAAAAAAAAAAAAGGCGTCGGGATTCACTTACTTCTGAGCATTGATTTGGAACCGAACACCGTGCTCCTTGGTCGAATCTTCAACATATTCATACACTCCAGCGGGGCAGAACCGGTTCTCAACCCCCTTGTACTTAGGCCAAGCAATGTCCTTGTGCTTGTCCCAGTCTGCCACCTGCAAGTGTACCGGCTGATCTTCCTCGTGATTGGTACCGGTCCGACTGACGCTGGTCAAAATATCGAAGCTGATGACGCCATCCGGCTTGGGGTACTCGATCTTCTCACACTCAGAAGCTTGCTTGGTGGCTGCAGCATCTGTACCGTGATGCTTGAGCGTCCATGGGGTCCTGCCCTTGAAAAGATAGGCTTCCAACCCGGAATACATGATGCCGCCGTAAAGGCCGAGTGGAGTACTAAAGGAAGGTCTCATGTTGCGCACCTCATACAGCTCCTTCCAGATCGACGACTTTCGAAGAGCATCCTCATAGTCAAAGAGGAAAACGGTTCCATCGTCCGCTTTACCCTGCAATGCCGAGAAAGCGGATTCAGCAGCCAGCATACCTGACTTCATAGCCGAGTGGGTACCCTTGATCTTAGGAACATTCAAAAATCCAGCAGTATCACCGATCAAGGCGCCACCAGGGAATGCACACTTCGGGATTGACTGGAAGCCACCCTCGTTCAGGGCTCTGGCACCATACGAAATGCACTTACCACCCTCCAGGACCTCCTTGAAGAGAGGATGGTGCTTGAGCTTCTGGAACTCCCCATATGGCGAGAGCCACGGGTTAGGATAATCAAGGCCAACCACCATCCCAACACTGACCATATTATCACCGAAATGATACAACCAAGCTCCGCCATAGGTATCCTTGGGAAGCGGGTAGCCCATAGAATGAATAATCTCCCCAGACTTAAACTTCTCCGGCTGAATTTCCCAGACTTCCTTCAGACCGATTCCATAGGTTTGCGGTTGGCTATCGCGTCTAAGATCGTACTTTTTGATGACCTGCTTTGTCAAACTACCATGACAACCCTCTGCCAGCAGGGTTATACGAGCGTGGAACTCCATACCACGCTCGAAACTCTCCTTGGCTTTTCCATCACGGCCGATTCCGAGATCGTTGGTTGCGACACCAAGCACCGACCCATCCGGCTTGTAGACTAGCTCACTGGCAGCAAAGCCAGGGTAGATTTCCACACCCAGTTCCTCGGCTCGCTCACCCAGCCATTTGGTCAGCTCGTTCAAGCTGATGATATAATTGCCGTGATTGTTCATCTGCGGTGGCGCAGGAATTGGAATTGCCGAGTTCTTAGTTAAAAAGCGCATCTTGTCTCCTTTGGCCGGCGTGGCACCCTCGAATCTTGAGGGGTTATCCTCCGAGAGCCAATCTGGCAAAAGCTCATTGATAGCGGTCGGTTCTAGAACATTGCCCGAGAGAATATGTGCGCCTATCTCGCCAGCCTTTTCCAACACAATAACACGAAACTCTTCGTTACCAGCTTCATTGGCCAGCTGCTTTAAGCGAATCGCAGAGGCAAGACCAGCAGGGCCTAACCGGTAGAGAATGTTCGTTAGTTACCTAGATCTTCCAGTAGGATACCAAGCAATATGAAAGGAGGATCCTTACCGCCACCAACGATACAAACATCGACCTCGTCCGATTCTCTCTCCACTTGGCGGGGATCAAAATGGCCATCCTCGTCTGTGAGCTTGTTGGATAGCGACTGCGAGAAGCATCGAAATTGGCCGAGAGTCCGGCTTGGTGTGAAGAGTGCTGCCTGACGGGTTGTCCTCCGACCGGAAGCCAAAGCCGAGCTTCTAGAGCTCCGAAGAGGGGCTGCGGCAGATGAGAAAGAAGCTCTTGAGAATCGGGAGGCAGCTGGTCGCAGTTCGCGCCTCAAGAGAGGCAAAACGGCTCCTTTCGAAGCCATCGCAACGGTAGGAAACAGGGTGGTAATAGATTGGCGCACGGTTTGGAGGTCCTATATGTGGAACAAATGCATGGCAAGGGGTATACAAGCGTCGTTAAAAAGACCCGAGGGTAGGGGAATTGGACTAAATGGTTAGAATCGGTACTGGAGCACTCAAGGTCAAATCCCTCCGTCACCGGCAAGGATAAAAAGGTGACTAAGCCCTCTTTAGCGGGAGGCTAGTGGTCAGTCTGAGTTACCGCCAACCCGAGGTAAGGATGGCCAATAGGAATCGCGGCAATAGGAATCACATCCGCCTCGTTGTTCCGCTGTTAGCCCGCTATCCGTTGGAAGTACCGGGAACATACAATCTATACTCCGGCGTATAGTACTCCGTATATACTACTTGTATCCATCCCCTGGAGACATCCGGGGCATGGAGGCGGGGTTCGATCTATATAAATGCCGATGCAAGCTTATTGATTCTCACCAGATAAGATGTATCAGAGTCTGTGCAGGTTCAAGACTCGGTGTACCGATAAGGAAAAGGCCCCTGTCAGGTACTAGTAGCCAACTAGCTATACAATCACATGAACGAAGATCTCACGTGTGAAGTTCCATGGGGGAAGAAAAGAAGTTGGAATTCAAATAAGCATTCCATTCGTGCGTACTGCACGGAAACTAGTACTAGGAGTAGAGAATAGCTTTCATATCGATATGGCATGTGATGGGACGGAGAAAAGAAACGCCATCATCCGAACCCTGCGTCCTTTTTGTTCAAGAAAAGCTTCATTCCTGGAATGGAATCTCGAAACTACGACTCATCCACACACTTGCAGACTCAGTGTTATTGAAGACTGTTGGAATGCTGACAAACACTTAATAATGTACACAAAGGGCACCTCTTCACTGTTTCGCTCATGTGTATGGGGTGTATGGTATTCAGCATACCGCCAAGGCATGTAAAATACCAAGCCATGCGTTATCAAAGTAAATACTGTACCTACAGAAGAGTGAACATTTGTACAAAATCGGATGTTTATTATAATATGACAGATCATGGGATGTGCATTTCTGTTCAAAAAAGCAAGTTCGGTGGATCACAAATTTGGCTAAAGATCTGGGGAAAGGCGGTCGGCGCCACCGTGTCCCGAGCGGCGCTTGTTGAAGGTCCAATTAGGACACCGTAGCCTCTACGGATGAGACGGCAAACTTTTTCTACCTGTCGACCCTCAAGTTTTTGCCAGGAGGGGAGGATCAAGGTTTCAAGTTTGTGTTTCCCTTTTTTTTTTTTTTTTTTTTTTTTTCTCTTCGTTATCTTTTTTATGGTGTAGGAGCGCTCAGCCATGATGTATAAATTTTATCCTGAACTCTACTTACCGAGTACGGATGGAAAGAAGTTGTGTCCATGGATAAGAAAGAGGGAGAGGCGAAATTTTTGTTCAGCTGCCTACCGTTAAAGCGGCACGGTGAAAGGGAACGAGGGCGCGTCGTGAGGGAACCCCGAGAACAGCAACGCGGAATGATTGGAAGAAAAAGGGAATGGATTGGCTGCGCGGTGGGACCGAACGTCGAGAGCAGGAGGACAGCGGACTGGAGGAAGCGACAGTGGCTGCAACCATGGCGCTGACCGGGAGAATACGTAAGGGGGCAACAGCCAAATAGAGCGTGTACGACCTGGTGGGGCTCCCAAACAGATTGCGTTGAGTGGGCCTGTTGATCAACAAACCAGAGATGACGGAATCGCACTGGGACGAAGGGTTGGCCACCCAAGAGCCGCTAGTGGAGCGCTAAGTCAGTGAGAGTCTGAGTGAATCCATGGATGAGCGCGACCGTCTGTCGCTGCTTTTGCCGCCCGCCAGTCGCCGGGCCCAGCCCCCCCCTGACGCCAGCACTCTCGGGCAACTGTGAGTCAGCCTATATAAAGGCCCAACCTCCCACTTTCTGATGCTCTTGGAATTTTTGATCTTGGTCTTGGCACCGCCCCGGAACGCCATACAGTCGTCTTCTCTCCGCCCTCCCCTCTACCTCTATCTCTCCACACTTCCGCCTGATACAGGTCGCAGAGATTTGCTTTCAGCATCCTCTGCTTTGGTGGCTAAAAGACTCCGGGAAGAAATATTTTTTAGGAGGCTCCAAAAGGGAAAAGAAAAATATTATTTTCATATTTTTCTGCCCCCCCAGTTTCAGATTCACTTACTGAAACGGGAAGCTTACAACCTTTTTCTACTCAGGTGTCCATCTTACGACACACTGCAAGAAACAAACACACTCTCTCTTTTCACAGATAGACATTGAATTTCCAGGAAAGGAAAAGAAAAGCCAAAAAAAAAAGTTTTTGTTTGCCTTGTTTGCCCCAAAAAAAAAGCGCATATTCTTTCTTGTGTCCGCTCCCTTCACGTTGCTGTCCATTACTCTTTACCCATCATAGTTGTGACAGTTCCCTTGTTGAGTTAATATCCTAGAAAACACTTCACTGTGCTTTTCTAGTTGCCTTCTCTACTCTACATCACCTTGTGATACTTGACTTCTTGGTCAGGGTCCAGGTCTCCTCCCTGTCTATCAACATCTCTATTGTTCTTGTTGGAGGTCTTGCTTGACTTGACCCTGAGCTCAGTCCCGTTTCGCTTCTACACGAAGCGGTTTACTGTGATCAAACACAAGGCAGCTTTGCTGTCGGGGAGACATTGAGTTGTCCATCTCCACAAAGGGTATGTTTTCTTGCTTTCCCTACGCGAAAATTTTTTTTCTGCCTTCTTTGACCGCATGTCGCCTCACTTCGCGGTCATGCGGTATTTTTGCTAGACCGACTTGTCGCGTACATCTATGTATATGTTCACTCAATATATTCTTACCCTTGGATCATACTACCTACCTGTCCTCTTACACTGGAGTTGCACGTTGACTGACTGTCCTTCGGGAACAGACTGCCAATCCAAGCTCTCGTATTCAATCAGTTTTTGGCTGGTCTACAGCTCGAGTATCATCTACTCACGTCGCAATGGATTCTCTCACGACCCATCCCTCCACCGCGCAGCAGGCCCGGGCCTTCACTTCTCCTGCCTCTCTGTCCTTTCCTGGTGGTGCCGGTGACTTGACACCGCCTTCCGATAAAGACGGAAACATGGCGTTGAACCTTCAAGGTGCAAACGGACATGTGAACGGCCAGCAGCAGGGAGGAAATGCCTCCAACGGCAACGGGGTGACACCCGCTACTCCTGTTGCAACTCCAGGTGCCAACACTCCGGGGAGTGGCATTGTGCCTACGTTGCAGTGAGTATACTCTTGCTGTCTCTTCTGGTATACCAGAATGCTGAACAAGGATCTTCTTTTTTAAGAAACATTGTCGCTACTGTAAATCTTGACTGTCGCCTGGACTTGAAGACTATTGCGCTCCACGCAAGAAATGCGGAGTACAATCCAAAGGTATTGCATCTCACACCTCCCTGAGCCTTGATTGTCAGGGCATAGTGTGGCTGAACTGCTCTTTTACTAGCGTTTCGCGGCCGTGATTATGCGTATTCGTGAACCCAAGACCACCGCTTTGATTTTCGCCTCGGGCAAGATGGTTGTCACTGGTGCCAAGTCCGAGGATGACTCGAAGCTGGCATCCAGGAAGTACGCCCGTATCATCCAAAAGCTCGGATTTAATGCCAAGTTCACGGATTTCAAGATCCAGAACATTGTCGGCTCCTGCGACATCAAGTTCCCCATTCGCCTGGAAGGTTTGGCTAGTCGCCACCACAACTTCAGTTCTTATGAACCTGAGTTGTTCCCTGGTCTCATCTACCGTATGATGAAGCCCAAGATCGTGCTTTTGATCTTCGTCAGTGGCAAAATTGTCTTGACCGGCGCCAAGGTCCGTGAAGAGATCTACCAGGCGTTCGAGCTAATCTATCCTGTGCTTTCTGGTATAGTACCTTACATTCCAACCCGTTGGTAATTTTGTTACTAACTACTCGAAAAGATTTCCGTAAAGTCTAAAAGGACTAATGCCGGTGCTCGCTTGCATAGGGGGATTACCCTTCACCTTTCGCACCCATGTATTAACATTTGCTCTTTTTCTTGTTGTCTCTTTTCTTGCTCTGCGAGATTGTATCATGAGCCAGGCCGGACGTGTCGCGTTGGCTTGGTCGTTGCCTTTGTTGTCGAACTCGCATATCACGATTCCTTATGCTAGCATTTCTACGGCGTTCTAGCGATTCGGTTTGTTTCTGGTCGTCTGTTTCAACAAACTAAAGTCTTTTTACAATTAGAAGTCGCACACCGCAGATTCAAGGGGGCGGTACTGTGCGCTGGTCGATGGTTGCTCCCTCTTAATTACTTGTTTTTGCGTTCTTTTGCCTATCGGCTGCTGACCCTTTCATCTTGATCCCGTCTCCATGGAAGTGGTTCTTCGAGCGCTATTTGTTTTCACGACTCTTTCGGAAGATGATGGATCAAATGGGAAGAAATTTTCCTGCGATATTCCTCTAGACCTTTTAACGGAAGTGGACGAATGCACTGGCTGGTTGGTGAATCAGGCAATGAACCTGGTTCTTGTGGCATGATTCTTTCTACCTTTCCTCGATAGCCTCTGAACCAAATGGAGTGAAAACCATACAAACATGTTCCTCGTAATCTATACACCGTTTCACGTAAGAAGGTTTTGATAGGGCTTTTTATATACAAGGTATATCTACAGGGTATATTTTATGTCCAGTTTAGTACCACCCGATTACAGGACGCCCTTCCGCTGTGCTTTCTTAGTTTTGGCCAGCTCGTCCATCAACCGCAAGCCCTTCGCACCAGACCGGCTTCCATCACCTTCAAACTCACCCTCTACAGCCGCCGGCCATTTCCAAATCTCGCCCAGTTCCGGCTCAAGCTTACCCTCCATTGCATCGACAATCTTGTCCCCGAGCACCGGGAGGAACTTGTACCCGTGCCCACTGCCACCCGTAGCGAGGAAGAGGTTCGGGTGGTCGGGATGATACGTGATGATGAAGTGACCCTCGGGTCTAGTTTTTGTTAGACTTGCCGCATTCCCACTACGGGTTCTTTCAGAGTCAACTTACGTGTCGGTGTACCAGCAGACTCGAGTCTGGATGAATGGCCGGTCACCCATGCTTGGTAGCAGATTCCTCAAAGCAGATCTCAGAGCTTCTTCGCCTTCTAGGGGGACCGGGACCCCGGGTTCCGGCAGACTGACTTCCATCGTTTCTCCCTCAACCCCGGGAATGGGCACATTCTTAGGGTTGACATAGCCGTAGGCGTGACGAGCGATCTTCAACAGATTCTTGCGCGGGGGGATGATGAAGAAACCCGTCGCGAAGTTGAGGATAGTAGGCATGTTCTCCAGCCGCCGCTGCTCTTCGTCGGAGATCTGGACGAACGCAACCGCCTGGCCCGTTGAGAGAGCCCGGCCGCGGAGGTCGACAAGCTTACCCGTCCAAGCCCCCGTCGCGAGAACGACCAGATCGGCCGTGAGGGAGGATCCATCTTCCAAGAGAACTCCAGTCACCTTGCGCTGGGAGGCACCGTCGGGTTGGTCTGCGTAGAGGAGGGTCTTGACTTCCCCGGTTTTGAAGGTGACCTTGCCCTCCGTGTCGAGAAGCTTCTTTGCATATCGAACTCCGGCTTCGGCGTCCGACCAGCCTGAACCCCAATTCACGTAGCCGCCCGCCACATTCAACTCCTCCCCGTATGCGTGCGCCACTCGCAGGACGTCTTTTTTGGATGGCAGTAGCTCGACGTCGTTTCCTAGTTCTTTGACATTGTTGTAACTCTTCCTGGCGTATTCCTTGCCATTGGTGTTTCCTTCGGGGTAGACGAGAAGTAGTCCGCTTTGGATGTATCGGTTATCTTCGGCGCCCCATTCGGTGTTGCGCCAGCGCTCGATGGCTGCGTCCGCGAGTTTTGTGTACACAGGGTGCGAGTAGTCCGCGCGGACGATGCGTGAGGCGTCCACTGAGGAGCCTTCAGGGTTGGGGATTATAGGCGATGCCTCTAGAACAGTAACTTCGCTTGTGGGGTGCCTCCGGGAAAGTGAGAGGGCGGTGGATACTGTGTGGTTGGACAAAGAATCAGCAACCGTAAACTCATAACGGTGGTTTGTTGAGAGTCAATGGCAATGCGCTTGTGTAAATCTCACGAACAAAAGCAAAATTAGGGAATACCAGCTCAGTATATCCATCACTCACATCCAAAGACACCTCCACCTACGATGAGGATTTTGGGTGGTAAAGCCATGACTTTTGCGGTTATACTGGAATGACAGCGTTCAGAAAGAACTACTCCGTTGCACCTTTTCTGCAAAATAGACACAGAAACAGAAAAGATGCGGAGAGAGAAGTCCGGGGGACCTTTAAAAATAGTGGCTCCATGTTCGGAGCGATATAGGAGCACCAAAGATTTAGTTAGCGGTATGACAATTGATAGGCTCCCTATCGCCTCAAGAGCTTGGCTTTTCTTTTTTTTCTCGGCCGCAACGCAACTCCCGGTCTAGCCAACTCAGTTGATCGGCTATTACCCCCGGAAAATCATATGTTGATATATTTACCCCCATAGCATCGAATATGCATTGATCATTATCCGTTGGAATGTGATTTTGTTTATTGTTAAATAGACTCACAATTGAATGCTTGTCAACCTTCCCCCGCGAAAGGATATATATCGGCCCGAAGATCCTCAAAACCACGGCAATTGAATGAATATCGTATAATTACCACATCCCACGCCCTTAATCACTCAGCATGAGCGCGTCCCGAGTAGGCCGGGCCGCACTGAAGGCCAAAGTGCCTGTTACCGGTCCTAAAAGGACCGGCAGTAAGATTCCGGTCGATGGTCCTGGGTCAGTATATGATGCTCCCTTCGATTGCTGTGAGCCGTGCAGCATACTTCCCGGGAATAATCGCCCTCCCCCTGGTAGGCATATATAGAAAGATGGTTTATCTAACCGTCTCGACAGCAAGAAACCGTCAGCAGCATCGCCGCTGCCAAAGCGGGCTAATCCACATCTCCTGAATCTTCAAGAGGCACAGCCCCGCATGTCTCCTAAAGTAATGACCATTCTAGGGGTCGGTGTCCTCGGCATGAGCACATACTGTGGGTATCTATACGCCTCCTACAGACGGGAAGTGACCCATGCGCAGTCTATGGACGTGCCCAGGGATGTATCTGATCGATACAACCAGACAGCTAGGACCTTCGACGCAGATGTCGAAATGTCCGAGAAGCTGATGCGGATGGGGAAGAAGCGGCGAGATCTTGTCCAGAAGGCCCGTGGAAATGTGCTCGAGGTGAGCTGTGGCACGGGTCGAAATCTGGAATATTACGAACTTGGACAGCAGAGAAAACCTAATGAGAGGGGGCAAGTAGAGCTTCAGGGATGCCGCTCCGTTACGTTTGTCGATCTCAGCCCGCAGATGGTAGAGATCGCGCGAGGCAAGTTCCAGAAGTTGCATCCCGGTTTCAAGGATGTCAACTTCCGGGCACAGGATGTGAAGGACGTTGCTCCTCCGACGACTGGGGATAAGCAGGCTTATTTTGATACGATCGTACAGACCATGGGATTGTGTTCAATGCCAGACCCTGTTGGCGCCCTTCACCACCTGGGGTCCATCACCGAGCCGGAAAAGGGACGGATTCTGCTTTTAGAGCACGGCCGGTCGCACTATGACTGGCTGAATCGCATCCTTGACAATCTCGCACCCGCCCATGCGGACCGCCATGGGTGTTGGTGGAACAGGGATATTGGAGCGATTGTCCGGGAGAGTGGTCTGGAGGTTGTTGAGGAGAAACGGTGGCATTTCGGAACTACATGGAAATATGTGCTGAAACCAGCACGTGGTAATTAAGAGGTCAGGTGTAGGCAGTCTTGTATATTAACCGTCCTGTAACATAGACAGCATGGGTGTAGTACCCTAGCAAATAACTTAGAGAACTCTAGAGAGGTCACTACGTTTCGGTTTCGATGTACGCGATGAGGCTACGAGAGCGACGTGGGTAACTATAGAGATATTGGTATACATAAATTATTTATACATTCCACGCAAAGTTGATCCATGTAAATAAGCTCAGTGGAATATAAGGGTTCGTCCCGGGCGTTGATCCGCCACGTCCAGAGTCTATCGACTTCCTTGTTGGGTCATCTGATCTCGTTACCCTGGATTTATGGCCATCGGATTGCGGCAGGGTGACGAGGGTGACGACAGGGACCAGGATAGGCTTATGCAGCAATCGCACTGGATCGAAACCCTTACCGCGAATGCAAGTAGTTCGTCAGGTAGATGCAAATACTACCTAAATTAACCGAGAATATCTACATTTAGAGAAGTCCTACGCAAGATGGAGTCACGAAAACGGCGAACATCGTGCCCTCTTTCCCGAGTTGGGAATATATCTGTCTGTAGTCAGCAAGCGACGATGCCGATCGCCTCGGAAACTAGAATACAAACTGGAACCGGTGTAGAACCTCTTGATGAGGTCAAGATGGCGTTATGCACATGCGGGGTAACAAAGTTACTTTCTATCTTTTTGTGTATGTACGCCACCGATAGAATATATGTCATGTATGTACCTGTGCCTGGAGTTTTGAGACCCCTCGCAGAAACATCCCCAGCGTTCCATCGGGTCGGAGAAAAGATGGACAACCGCTTCTGGGTTGGATGCATCATTTAAGGTTTATCAACCATGTCACCACTTTCTATAGTAAACGGGTTAAACTTTTGAACTAGGGTTCTAGTTATGTCGTAGTCAGCTCTTGGAAAGTTTTTGAGTCGTTGGTTTGAATATCATTTTGTTTTTCCAACACTCCTTCGTGTCGGGTCAAGCTGCACCAGAAGGCTGGAGACGTGTAGATTTATCATAAGCTGAAGAGTCTGCCGTGTCGCTGTAAGACGCATGATGAACTGCATATTATTCCGTCTGGGAGGGTGGGGGAGACGAATCTTAGGTATGGACGCGTCGATAAATATAATTTACGCCAGAGTAAGAGAATAACGAAGTCGGCTGGCCAATTCATTCGGTTTTCCCCCCTCCTCTATCTATCACTTTGAAACAAAAGGGTTAAGTTGTGGAGAGGCATACCCCAAACCAAGTTATTTGGTTGTCACAGGAGGGACGGCCCCCTTTCCCAGGCAACAAGGTTGACATCCGGGCTGGGAATGATCCCATCCAACTTTAGTAGTATGTGTACGGAGTACAGTATGTGCTCTGGGTAAAGCCCTACAAGTACTAGTACGAGTGGGAGGAATAGTCGACAGGAGTGAACGACACAGCAATGCATTGTTATGGATGCCTTCTGGAGGACACACAGATCCATGATCCCGAATTGTTGACTGGCGTCATGGATAAATTGATCCCTTGCGTGCGGGTGATACATCACACATCCCCTTCTATGTATGTACACATGTACTTGTATGTATGCGTGGGCGAACACCCGCAGTTTCATCGATTTGATCAACCAGTGTATGATGCTTTCGATCTATGATAAATTACGGATGGACGAGTCAACACAGCCTTACCGTGGCATCTTCCACTTGGGCGCAGTGGCGAGCTATTACTGGATTCAGATCCATTCCAATTTCCATTTCCATTTTTCTCGACATCTCCATTTTCTTTAGTGGGCAAACTAACATAGCGCCGCCTTTAGCCCATCCGATTGGATTCCTTCCAAATCTTCTAGACGGCTCGGTATTTACTCCACTCGATTTGATCTGATTTGCCGGTGTTTGCTAAACGGTGGCGCTAGGAATGAGATTCCATGGAACTCGCTCTTTCAACGGTGGGGATCCTTTCATGCTGCGATTGGCCTCGTTTTTGCTCTTGGGTTCCATCCCCTCTCCAGCTTAGTGCATAAACCGGTGCATGAATCTATACTATGTATGGCATTAGACTGTCGACCCTAGGCTTCTTTAGACCTAGTCTGAACCAATTTGCCCTTTCCTTGGTTCTTAATAATTTTTTTTTTGTTTTCATTATTGTTTTGCTTTTTTGTATTCCGTTCTCTGTCGAAAAAATCCACCCACCTCTCACAAACTACGGCGACATGGATGGCGTACCATGGAATACATTCAGCTATGATGCACTTACCCGTAGACGATGCAGCTGTTCCCTTTGTTCTAGCTAATTATTGTATTGCTGAATGTCTCCATCCGAGACTGAGACACAATCCTGATTGATGTATCGTAATCTCTTTGTTGGTAGATTATACCTATGTACATACCTACGGACTCCGTATATTCTTGCTAGCTCGGAAGGAATCACCGGAAAACTAAGGCAATAATACGTAGATTAAAAATGCGGTGTCCAGATGTCGGTGAGGAAAGCCTGAAAATCAGTCCAGGAGACGGTGTAAGGACGGCATTTAGACTGAAGGTCAGAGCTCGAAACTAAAAGGTCTCTCAATCTATACAATGGACGATTGTTTGTTGCTCTCGATGCGGAATACCTGCGCAGCAACCAGGTCGAGGACGACTAAGTTACCCGAATTGCCTCTGGAGTCTTGACTATGGCTGTTAGGGCTCCACGGCGCATACTCCATCAGAGCGTCCATGCAGAACCTCAGTTGATCACCGTCTCCCCGCTGCCAATCAGCACGGAAGATATTCGACCCGGTCGTCATAGACACATGGTGCGCCCCACAGTACTTTTTTTGCCCCTTCATTCGGCCGCATTGAATCCATCCATCCATTCTGGGTCCTGCCCGGATGCCTCTCGGTATGCAAACACACACGCGCGCACTTGCTTTAGAGCCACAATAGTCAAACATTCAGCGGTGAAGGTGGATTGCATGAGATGCATTGTTTTTGTTTTGATCCAACATGGAGGGGTAAACCGAGGGGGAAAATGATCAAGAGGAAGATATGTTGAACGAGGAAAAACCAAAACAACCAAGAACTTTTTTTTCTCCTTCCGGCATTCCTGAAAAAAA